GTCAGGCGCAGGTAGATAAGATCTCTCGCAAATCATGTAATCCACTTCAAACCGTACGGTGTTATGATCAGAGTTCCCAAGAGGAGGGAGCATTTCAATACTCTTAATTGAGACGCCCGATGTCAAAATCAGGTCCAAGACTGAGTCTCCTCTGGTCCCTGCCGTGACCCACTGTTTCAGCCCACAACATGAAAACACCTCCTTGAAGCGCACGTCTGTGCTTGAGTGAGTTACGTTATTCTTCCAATCAATGCTGAGGTTGAAATCACCAGCAATCAATATGGGGTGGGCAACTGAGAATATGTCATAGAAAACACTGATTAGCATAGTGTCATTTTCGAATGAAGAGTGTGGTGGCCGATATACAACTGCACACCGCAAAGGCGTAGCAATGGATTCAGAAACAATATCAAAACACAGTACATCCGAAAGTAGACCTTTGAATAGTTTCAAGCATGTTCGCATGTGAATTTGGTCTTTGATAATGGCACAAACTCCTCCTCCTCTTCCACCGCACCTATCTGATCGCAAAATAGTATAATTCAGATCTCCTAGCAGTTCCGAATCCAAAATTTTATTATCCAGCCAAGTTTCAGTTATTAAAGAATGTCGGGATTGTTAATGGCCAAAAAGGAGTGTAAAAGGGGTATTTTATTAACTATGCTGCGTGAATTTAGGAGGTAACACTGAATCTGTGAATTGCCGTGCGTCATTGCCGGTTTCCCAATTTTTGACGAGAAGGCAGGTCACTCACCTTTTTTAGCTCACCTTTATACACCACCCAATCTTTTTTATTTGCAGCTCTGTTACGCTCGTGAGCCTCCTTGTCTAAGTTTGGCCTCCGCTTCTCTTTCCTCTGCCGACATGCTTCGCCTTATGAAAACATCGGACATCCCTGACTGTCTTAACAAACGCGCATTAGTGAGAACTTTCCGCCAGTGTCCCCTAGACGGTAGCAATACTTTTACCAGCCTGTTTTTTGACACATCATATGTACCCATCCGATATACCGTCTGCGGCCGACACTCAACATCAAGAATGTCTAATATACCTGTGATCTTATCTTCTAGTTCAGTCTGTCGTCGGGAGGCCGGAAGTGCTCGAGACTCTTCCTCTAAGCCCACGACAACTATACTTCGACTCTTTCGGTCCTCTTCAATAGTGTTAGAAATAGTATGGACTATTTTTCCCTGCAAAGCTAGAATCATCTCTTTAATAACTGGGTCAGTGCTGCGATCTAACATCGCACTCAAAAGATCGGTAACCGAGAAATTCCGATAATCAATGGTGTCGCATTGAACAGACTGATTAAGTGCTGTTGCAGGCAGTTTTTGTGATTTCTGAGATGCACTTTTTGAATTTTGTGAGGCTCTTCTGCTAGCCATTACTGCACTAACAAGGATGATGGCAACACAATAGTTCACTTAGAAAAACCGAACGATCGAGATATGGAAGAAGTCAGAACGCGCTGAGATCAAGACTGTCAATCGAAAAAAAACAATCCTCAGATCGATTCAATACAACGATAGAAACTAAGTAATAGCGAAATTTGCCACGGCTCCCACTAATTCTAACTATACCCACCGTGTGGGGTTGGTCATCAAAAAGAAAAGACGGAAGTTCAAACGACCAAATTAGCAGAGACACTCGACTCACGAAATTACCAGTCAATTACGAGGTTTGGTCAGGTTGTCGGTCAGCGCTTATGTGCATACGCGAGCCGCCGGAGCAGGGAGTGCAGTGAGATCGATATGTGAGCGGTTGTTTTATAAAAAACTTTTCTCATGCAAGGGTTGATCTAGGGGAGCTTTTTCTTTTTCAATCGTCGGACCGATCATCAACCCCCAGTCTCCTTAGATGGCGCTATAAGCGCTCATCCGTAGATTGATTACAGCGAGGCACGTGCCACGCCACTAACAACAACCAAGTTTCAAGAAAAAGGGCACTCTTCAAACCCCAGACTCGTGCTGACGTGATTTCAATCATACTTTTGCAGAAAGCCAGACGAGAATGCAAAAATCGCCTGTATTTAAATATTCTGCGAATGCACAACATAGGAAGAGGTTCAAAGATGACAAGAAGGCGAGATGAGAAACTATGTTTACCTTTTTCTTGTCTTCAATACTTCTACATACTTGTATGAAAAGGTGACATGTCCGACCCCTCCCCGTGGGGTCACCCGACGGCACTCACCTCATGGGAGGCAATAGTCCGGAAAGGAGGTCCGGAGAAGCTGGACTGCGCGTTCCTTGAGTATGCAGGTGGTTTCATGGGGATGTCTGACTCCTGGGTTCTCCGCCGGGCAGAGTTGAGTTTGGAGCGTGGTTCATCTCCTGAAATGGGCTGTGAGGGCGTCGTTTAGGCTTAAGTATCCTGCTGTTTGCTCTTCTCGCGGCTAATTCTGGTGGTGTGAGGCTCATCAGCTCAGAAGGTTTTGTATCTGCGTTGACAAAAGCTTTTTGCAAAAGTCCGATGATATTCGCATGCCAAAAGGGCCGGTTAAGCGAGTCGCCTCAAAAACCACTTGTGTCAATCAAGACATACGGGGAATAATTCCTGTGTTGGTACCATCGAGGCAACGAGGTCGCGATTGGTCGCTAGGTGACTGCTCCTCTGGACCTTTAAAAGGTAAGCGAACGCGGATGGTGCGGGGTACAGGAACGCGCTAGTACGCTCCTAGAGTGGAGAATTTGCAAGCCTTTCAAACCGGCCTCCCAGTACCCGCGCCACGCTGGGCTCTTGCCGCCTTGCGGACGTATGGGGCGGTCGACGCACCGCGGAGAGATGGAGAGGCTGCACAATCTCGGGGTTGCGTAGAACGTCATGGACTCTGGACGAAGACGACACGAGAACACGACATGGAGATTGCCTCAGAATTTGCACTTACAACGCGAGAACTGTCTCCAGTGATGCCGACCTTCGTTGCCTGCTTGATGCCGCGAGTCGAATCAAGTACAACGTAATCGCGCTCCAGGAAACGAAGTGTAAGAAGACCGATATACGACATTTCTTCGATGGAACTCTTGTCATTCGTGGTGAGAAGTTTCCATCGCGAAACATCGGTGGCGTCGGGTTCGCCGTTCACCCATCTGTCGTCCAACACGTTGACTCCTACGAAATCCTCTCTCTCCTCGGACTTAAGCGCATCCTCGTATGCGTTTCCCTACCCTCTAGCGTCTTAGCTCGCGGAACTACCTAGATTTCCACAAACTTCCGCGGCGTCAAAAGTCCATCTGTATCATCAGCTGCTATTCACCACACATGGGCGCTGATGATTCCGAATTAGACGCATTCTACGATCAGCTGGAGGAAGTCATCCGCACCGAGAAGTCCTTCTATAAATTCATTGTCGGAGACTTCAATGCGAGGATCGGTAAGGTGGAAGAAAAAGAAGACAGGATTGGCCAGTTTGGGATTGGCGAAAGGAACGAAAACGGAAATCGGCTTGCTGGGCTCATGTCCGCGACTCGTCTCTTCCACGGTAACTCTTTGTTCGAGAAGAAGGAACATCGCCGCTGGACATGGGAATCACCCAACGGCACGACACGTGCCGAGATCGATCACATTATTACGAACAGGAGACGGTGCCTTTGTGATGTCGCTGTAGTGCCATCTTTCTGTACCGGATCTGATCATCGGCTTCTTCGGGCGAAAATTCGTCTATCTACCAGGCTTGAAAAACGAGCCTTGCACCGCCCGAAGACAAGAAGAGGTGGAGATACAGTCTTTTGAGGCTAACGCACGTGCCGCTTTCCCAACATATGCTAGGGCGGAAGATCGCGCAACTCGGATTTTGGACCCAACGAAGGATTACGAATTGCTACTCGAGGACTTCAAGCCTGTGCTGATGCGGCTTCTCTTACTCAGCGAAGGAGCTCCGAACGCATCTCGACGTCAACGAGAGAACTCTTGAGTAAGCGAAGGAGCCTGCGACTATAGATAGATGCTCAACCCACCTCGAGCGAGCTGATTGCTCTGACACCAGTTGCCCAGAATATTTCAAGAACGGGCGGAGGACATTACGACAGTGTGTCAGGCAAAGAGGAGAAACTCCTCGTTAATTGCTGCTCAACAAGGGAAGCACATCAAGTAGGAAACGCAAGCTGCAAGCGGGAACGCTCAGCCTTATCATCGCTTTCCGGGCAGACGTACCACTTTACTGCTGCGGTCCTTGGATGAGATTTATAGAGGACGCGAACCCTCCCATTCAGAAAGGCAGATGGTTGAAATCGTTATTAGCGGAAAACGTTCTAACACAAGTCTATTCCCCGCTCCCCGCCCAACCCCCGTTACACACGCGCATCCCTTATTTTTTATTCCCCTCGCCCCTCGACCCCACTGCCCCCCGACCACCTACGATCTATACCTCAGAAGTCCGAGTTGCCATCGACAGCATGAAGAAGGGAACTGCTCCCGGACCCGATAAGATCTCGGTCGACTTCCTTAGAGCAGGGAAACACTCACTTCATGCCATTTTGGCAGCCCATATGACGTCCTATCTTCGAAAGGGAAGGATTCCGGACCAGTGGAGAACTTCGCGCACTGTCATTCTATTCAAGAAGGGTGACAGAGAAGATCTTCGTAATTACCGACCAATCAGCTTGTTGAGCGTGCTCTACAAGCTCTTTACGAAGATCATTCTAACGCGCATCTCGAGTACACTGGATGAAGCGCAACCAGTAGAGCAAGCTGGGCTCAAGGGAGAACCCGTACCGGGCGGTTCCCGCTCACAGGGATTCAGCTGCATGGACCACATCCAGACTGTCGTGAGAGTAATAGAGGTCTGTCGTGAATACCATATGCCTCTCGTTCTGACCTTTGTCGACTACGAGAAAGCCTTTGACAGCGTCGAAACGAACGCCATCCTGTCAGCGCTGGTCGACCAAGGAGTGGAGTCATCCTATGTTAACATCTTAGCTGACTGTTACAGACACTGCTCAACGACGCTACCCAACGCTACAAATCTGTTGTGGACTCGTGCCTTTAACAACATTTTTCTCCCCATCTGAGAAGGCTGGGTTAGGGCAGTGGCGTCAGGCAGGGCGATACTATCTCGCCGAAGCTGTTTACCGCGGCGTTGCAGTGGATCATGAAGTCGCTCGACTGGGACGAGAGGGGCATACGAGTGGATGGAAAATTCCTATCCAACCTTCGATTTGCAGACGACATCGTCTTATTTTCGAATTCTATCACTGAAGCAGAGACGATGCTCAACGAACTTAACGAAGCTGGAAGTAGAATTGGACTACGAATCAATCGGAAGTAATGGGAGGACCACAGTCTTATATTGACAGAAATCTCGCTTAGGCTGCGAAGACATCACATGACGATTATAATGGTTTTTGGCATGTTATACTGCTGAAACCGATTCTTACGTGACTAGGAGCGCCGTATTAAATACGTAATAGAGAAACTCAATGCATTCTCAAGGAGGAACTGGACAGTTCTGTGAGAAAGAAAGCGGTGTCTGGTCTGCAGTCGTGGGTCTATAAAGACGGCCACTGCATCTTTCAGATGTAGACTGTCGAGCCTTCAAGTTTTGCCCCCACATCTATCTCTATTGATGGCAGACAGTGTGCTTCCTGCGCTCTCTGTTACGCTGCAGAAACGTGGGCCGATACGAATGCCACCACGAATACGCTTCGAGTAACGCACAGAGCGTTAGAGAGGTGTCTTCTAAAATACAACAGGCGCTCACAACATCGAGCAGGACTTCGTAGTTCAGATATGAGGGTGATGTCTCGACTCAGAGATCCTGTGGAATACGCTTACAAGGCAAAACACAGGTGGGCCGGACATATCATGAGGAGGACTGACGACAGGTGGACGAGAAGGACAATAGAGTGGATCCCTAGAGACCACAAGCCGTAGCCGTGCGTAGGGAAGAGACCACCTTAGAGTCATGTGGACCGACCGTCTTTGGAAAGCGGCTCGTCGCCAACTTGTGCGGGGTTCGTGTTTCGTTAACGTCTGAAGTCTATTTTACTCCTGCTATGGAAACGGTCGTGTGCCGTCAAGGCAAGAAAGGTATCGTGGATGACGGCTACGCGACGAGGGACCGACACGAATGGAACTCTGCCATGCGTGGCCTACGCCACACTCGGCGACGTCGGAAGGAACGACCCGCCCATCTAGTATTTAAGTAAAGACCTCTCGTCACTGAAGAACTCGCTACGCAACCCACGTGTATCTGGTGGATGAAGCCTTTACATTAATTAATTTAAATAATAAAACATCAAAAAGAAAAGTCCAAAGAAATAGCAAACTCGACTCACGAACTCAGGTGACTAGTAGCTCTTTTCAACGTGGATCATCCTCAACCCCCTCCCCTTAATGCGCTATAAGCGCCCTTCGTAGATTGAACAGCGAGACACGTGCAGCCATACAAATCTACTTTTGCAGAAGCCGGAGAATGCAAAATCGCTGTAGAAACTAGATGAAAATAGGAGGTCAAAGATAGCAGACGAGATGAGAAATTATGTTTACCTTTTTCTTGTCTTCAATACTTCTACTTGTATGAAGAATGTACGCAACATCTTATTTTGATTGAAGCTTTAAAACGATCTACCAGAATGGAGCAACTGAAGCCAAATAGAGGAGTACTGCATGAAGATGTTGAGATCCGTGACCAATGCTGCCATATAAATTTTGAAATGCTCATAATTTGCACTGAAATGTTTATTGTTCATGTATTTTCATAATTAATGTTGTAACAATTTTATAATTATTCCTAGTTTTGTTCCAATAAACTCACTCATCTATTTCTATGTAATTGACATTGTTAAGAAAAGGTCACAACGCAGGTCAACCAAATAAGTAAGTGCATTCTGCATGCAAGCCTGCCGAGGTTTGAGGCACAGCTGCGAAGAAGGCAAAAGTGTGAATCTTGTCACTAATATCACACACACTTGTAAATAAAAAAAAAAGAATAAACAAACCTCGAGTCTGTTGCATGATGATCTGCAATTGTGATGAGTATTATTTGGAACTAAACACGACGGAATAGTAATTTTGAAAAATGGAAGATAGTGAGAACCTGTAAGAACCATTTGAGAGAGCTCGTATGCCCCGGTATCAGACATTGCTAGTGCTATCTCAAATGGGGGGACCGCGTTCTGTTCGTCTCCTCCTGCAAGGCTTAGTCCCCTGATGGCGCGTATTGAAAGTGTCACGTGATGGCGAAATAGTAACTGCCTCCTGGGACTAAGCCTTTGGAGAGGGAGCAACGACTGCGGTGGTATGGGCATGTGCTAAGGAGACCACAAGGCCACCCGATAAGGAAAGCGATGGACTTCGAAGCGCAAGGCAAGCGACCGCGAGGAGCCCCAAAGAAGAGGTGGAAGGACGTAATCAAGAAGGACCTAAGTGAAATCACGGCCACAGCAGAAGATGCCCTGGACAGAGCGAAGTGGCGACGACTGATAAAGACAGCGGACCCTGCGACTGCGCGGGACTAACGCTAGGGAGAAGAAGAAGAAGACTTTGGAGGAGCAGACCAACAGAGCGCCGCGCCGTTGCGTGGTCCCCCCCCCAACCAAGATGGCACCCATTGCCATTCCGTGGACACGCTAGCGAATCGCGTGTTACGGCGATGCACCATCGTTCGAGCGATGTGCTAGAAATCGAAAATACACTAGCGGTTCGAGCTACACACCAGCGATTTGAAAGATGTGCCAGCGACTCGAGTGTTTGAAAACAGCGGGAGTCCCTCTCGTTCGCGCGTTCCCGGGCTCGCGAGAGTGTGAGAGGCAGGAGAAGTGGTCAACGTGCGACCGAGAGGGACTCCCACACTTTCAAGCGCAGTCGAATCGCTGGTTCATTTTTGAAGCGCTAGCGCATCGCTCATACCCCGCGATTCGCTAGCGAATCTCGGGTTTGCAAAGTACGACACCGGCCTATTGCTGTTACGTGGAAGCACTGTAGTAATCTCTTCCATACTACCTTGTTTTCGGTCTCAGCGCTTTGTTCCTCGTTAGCTACAAGCATTTTAGAATTCTGGAAATAGATTCGGGTTTCGTTGATAATGGCAACACTGCCGAGAGAACGAAAAGTGCGAAAGTTGATGCTGCAAGTGTGATTTGCTTTTGATGTTTGGCTTCAATTGGCAGACGGGCAGAGGGAGTGTGAGTTGGCCGGTCGCGATTTACGGTGCTGAGTGCTGGCCTACGACTAAAGAGATCGAAGCACGTCTCAGTGTGATGGAGACCAAGATGCTGCGATGGACAGCCGGAGTCACACGAGTAGACCACATTCGAAACGATGTCATCAGAGAGCGATTCGGGGTGGCTCCAATTGTCGACAAGATGCGCGAAGCCCGTCTTCGATGGTATGGTCATGTCCTTCGCGCGAAAGATGACAGTGTCTGTAAGATCGGTCTCAACCTTGACGTGCCCGGAAAGCGGCCTAGGGGGCGCCCGAAGCAGCGATGGCTCGATACGTTGCACGAAGACTTGAAGTCAGTTAATATCCACCCCGATCAAGCGTTTAATCGGGAAAAGTGGCGCCAACATATAAGAAAAGCGGACCCCGCCTACAAGCGGGACAGACGCTAAAGAATAAGAAGAAGAAGAAGAAGTTCGGCTTCAATTGCAGCAGATGCAATAAACACATCATGAGCGAATGACTACAAGATTCCCGAGGCAGTTTAGAACGCTATACACATGTACCCAAGGAGAGCGTCTGCAGGAATGTCGACGCTGATTGCACAGGGTTGTTAATGCTTCTGTTCAAGT